ACTAATGGGTATCCCTTAAGGCTCAATTCTCAGCCCATTCCTATTTCTAGTCTATATTAATGACTTACCTTCCTTGTATGTCATAATCATGATATAGTATTATTTGCTACTTGATACTTCCTTGATTTTAAACTTAAACGTCAATCATTTAAATGTAACGAAGTGAATAATGCTATATCAAAGTTAGCGCATGGGTTTAACGTTAATAATCTATATTTAAAAGGCAGTAAGACTAAATAAATTTACAACAACGAATGTTGAAAATCTGAACACAAATGTGTTTTTAAATGGGGAAGAACTGAGCCCCGTTTAATTCACTGTTTTTCGTGGCATCACTCACGAAGCAAAGTTTCAGTGCCCCCCCCCCCCCCACCTCCAAACTAGCAAACGGACTGCTCTGCAGCTTATGCTGTGAAAAAGATTAGAGGTGTCACTAGTGTCAAGAGTGCTATAATAGTTTATTTCAGTTATTTCAATAGCATAATGTCTTATGGGATTTTGCTATTGGGAAATACGACTGATATAGAAACTATTTTTGTTTTGCAGAAGAGAGTGAGATAGAGAGTTTCTCAAAGGAAAATGTAAAGAAATAAATATTTTAACTTTGGCCTCTCAGTATATTTACGAAAACGTAATGTATGTTCACAAAGAACATAACTAGTTTTATTAATAATTATAACTTATAAGAAAAGCCAACCGACTTCAAATTGCTAAAAATAAAGTTATTTATTTGCAACCCTTAGGAATAGGAGGAGTTTCTTCTCCAAATTTATGTAGGACCACCCTTGAAATATACCTACTACAATTTTTTTTTTTTTTTTAAAAAACGTTACCCCCACACTAGGATTTTCTCCTATATCGTGGAGGCAGTTTACAAACACAAATTGCACAAGGACAAACATCCAGACCCGGAAAAAATATTTGTAGGCCATACAAATACTCATTCCGTGCGGGATTCGTACCCGCGGCCCCCAGCGCAGCAACTCATTGCTAAGCCACTGTGCCACGAAGCCACAATAAAAAACTATTCAATGAAAAAAGAAATATCAAAATTAGTTCACAATCTGCGAAGATATCGTGTACAAAATACATACATACAAAAAAGGACTTGCACTTGAATAGAGAATCTCCTCTTTTTTGAAGTCGGTTAAAATAGTGATACATACTTTGCAAACACTAGAACAAACACAAGCTAGCGATACCAGTCTCTCGACTCCACAGAGTTAGTAATTCATTCTTGGGGCAATGTATACGCTATTACAACAAAGTCCTAGAAAATATACATCTATTAACAAGTTTAAATATTTTATTAAACCAAAAATGTATAAAAAGGGTTATTATAATATAAATGAATACATGGTTGATAATAACTCCTAGAAATGAGATTGCCGCTTCTTAACTGTTTCTAAAATAAATTTTGTGAATAGTTTGTACAACCTTTCATATTGTATAATTTACTTAAAAAAAGCCCTGCTGGGTTTCTTGCTGGTTCTTCCCAGGACAGAAGTTTTTTTCCGAACCAGTGGTAAAGTAAAAAATAACTTTCCATAAGAGTTACATGTGATTTATATAATTTAAATTTATAGCAATAATAAATAATGTAAATAAAATATGCTTTTCGTATACACTCTTCATAAAGTATGCCGTATAAAATCAGAAGGATAATTCCCGTAAACCCTGTGTGTGTGCGCGCACGCGCGTGTGTGTGTGTGCGTGTGCGCGTTCGTGTGTGCGTGTGCGTGTGTGCGTTCGTGCATGTGTGCATGCGTGCGTGCGTGTGTGTGTGTGTGTGTGTATGTAGCGGCACTGTCATATCATAGCCTAAATCACGCTATCAAAAGTTCCGAAGTACTGCGCTATATATAGAACAGCTCTGTACAAACACACTGAGCGTTGGCCGCTCCCCGGGCTGAACACCTTGCCCGGTGGAAAATCTTCCCTTTTCATTCCATGGCCAAATTTATGTGTGTGTGTACTGTATAGTGATTTACAAGAATTTAGATGCGGTGCTCTTAGTCGCGGCTACGATTCCTGCACGAGACAAGTAATTGTATGGCCCATGAATAATTCTACTGGACCTTTGTGTTTGCTCATGTGTAATTGATATCTGTAAAACACTTCACAACACAGTAGAAATGATTACATAGTTTTTTAAAGAAAATATACATCACATCACTTCTGACAGGTTTATTGAGCGACTAGCCCGCCGCGCTTCCTTGGAAATCGGACTTGGGGATCGGATCGGACTTCCGCGAAATATTTTATTTAAACATGTTGTTTCCCTTCACCGCAGAGCACGTGTAGAACATCAGGATTTAAAATTATAGTTAACAATTTTAAAAGGTGCAGGTGAGGATTGAACCTATATAGGTACTGTAAAATTTACGACGAGCGTCTACCCGCTGCTTTTAGCGTTGAGTTAGTTAATCTAATAAATCCATGAACAATAATTTAAATTTAAAACCCCCGAAACAAAAAGAGGTGATGATTTTCAAACAGATGAACAGATTTTCTTGAATCATAGCCAAGAATATTCCCGATTGAGACACCTTTCAAACGAAAAAAACTTAGTCAAAATCGGTTCATCCATTCAGGAGCTATGATGTCACAGATAGGTATACAGATACACAGATACACACATACACACATACACAGATAACACACTACAAACTTATAACACCCCTTCGTTTTCGTCGGAGATTAAAAATAAAAATCATAAAAAGCCATGGTAATCAAGGCTTAAAAATTCTTGGTTCAAAGTTCATTGAGCTTGAACAAACAGAGTTCGATTACCGCTGTCCCAACTGAATTGGATAAACGTAATAGTTTATCTGACTAAATTCATGTAGCGAAGACTTTCGTATTTTTACATGGTAGAGCCACGCTGCAATTATATTATGGTTATAGCACGAATGGGTCGGCTTGATCCGGGAAGGACCAGCTCTCACAAAATACCAGTGTAAAATAACAGCTTAATGCTGCTGTTTCGTATGATGAGTGTCGAGAACCGGAGAATCGTTTTACTGGAACGAGGCATTCCATCTTACTCCTCAGGGGTGACAACGCATCTGCATTTTGGTTCTTAATCGATATCGAAATCGAAGCTGCAGCACGAATGTGTTAGCTTGAACAGGAGGACCACGATTGTACAGAATACTAGCGTAAAATAGCAGATTAATACTGCTGTGCGTATGGTAAGGTACGAGAATCGATCGAGTGAGGAGTGATAATGTACTTGTGTTTTGATTCTTATTCGAGGATAAATGTAATAGTCTATGGGCTACAGCATCCACTTATCAGAGCTGTGTGTTCGATTATCATCCTTACTTGTATGAAGAGGCAGACAAAGAAACAAACAGACAGACAAACTTTAAAATTCGGTGCGGAGGACATTATTATTATTTACTTGATATGACTTCTCAGAGAAAAGTTTTTTTAATTGTATGTTTAATAAAATATGATTCGCGACGGTGACGAGTATGTATTTACAGAATTATAATCATTATACTCATCAATACAACCCCCTAAGTTCGTATAATCCTATTATATGCCTATTTCCAGAAAAACTCATTCAAAGTAATTATATAAACTTGGAGGGTTGTATTTGTGATTTTAATGATAATAATTTTGTAAACACACACTCGTTACGGTCGCGAATCATATTTTGTTAAACATTCAACCTGACCCTGACCTGCAAAGTCCAAAAAATCTAAGAAAATTTGCATTTCGCGGGCCACCCTGTAGCTTTCACCTTAAGGATCATCAACACAGACCTTAATAATTTCCTTAATTTTGTTAACTGTTACTGCAACTCTTTCTACAGTTTGTACATTTCCATTGCGTCTCTAACATAACAGATGGCCATAACATGACCGATTTATAACATAAAAAATGAATCATGTCCAATCACTTCAAACTAGGTAAGGCACATAAATTTTATTTTTTACGCGGTTCTTAACTAATAAATTTTAACATCTCTAATAAAATATATGACATTAACAGTTAATATTCTAAATTTTTTATCTTATGCCAAACATTATGAAGTGTTACCTACTTTAGTTTTTGGGTTACTTGGTGGATCATAAAACTGAGCACGGTAGGAAAATTTATGTAATTATGTTTTTAACTACTGATAACTAATTTTGAAGACTCGCAAAAAAGACGGTTTGAATAATTTACTCCGACTAAAGTTTAATTAATGATCTTATAGTTTGTTTTTATATATAACACGTGTCAGATTTTTTGTCGACGATGAACTCCTAAACTACTGAACTGATTTCAGCGAAATTTTGCACACTGTGTGCGCAGTTTGGTCCAACTTGTGAAATTGGCCCTCAATATTTTTATTACGAATTTAAGGATTTTTAGACAAAGGATCGTCGGGCAGGGCAGAACGTCTGCCTGAACAGTTAGTATACACACGCATACACACACACACGCACACACACACACGCACACACACACACACACACACACACACACACACACACACACACACACATAATATAGATGGAGTATGGAGTGCATAATGTCAGTCGGTACGTCAAACCAAATTGGGTAAGAAGTAACTACTTTCAGACACGTAATATAAATCAGGGTTATCATAAACTGCAATAAATAACATTAATTAGGATATATATATATATGTATTTATATAAGTATATATTATATATAAATACCAAAAAGTAAACGCTTTAAGAAAATTTGTTACTGGATGGCTAAATTAATATTCAATAAAATACCGCAAACAATTTGAGATCTTCCCACACCAAAATTTAAAAAAAAATTATACCAGTGGCTTCTTCAAAATACATTTTACTCAGTAAATGAGTTTATAAATTACTAATGACAACTTTTTACTGACATGGTATATAATACTGTTTAATTTAATCTAATTTTCTTTGTTTCTTATTCTTTTAATTATAATTTTCATATTTTTATACAAGGTGGCCCATAAGTCGTTAGAAATGTAAATTTCGAATAAAATACAAAAGGCGCGCATGAGTGGCGCGCGCGGTGCGGGGGGAGTACCGACGGTTTCTGGGAATTCAGTCGCCATGGAGCGTTTCACCGGTGCGGACCGTGCATTTTGTGTGCGCGAGTTTTATCGAAACAATGATTCGGCTACCATTGCGCGGCGTAAATTTCGAGAATATCAGAATTTACGCAACTTTAAAGACATTCCAAGTGTTCAAACGATTAAGAACTGGGTTATTAAGTTCGAAGAGAGTGGTTCGACGTTGGATAAACAACGGTCAGGTCGACCAAGGACATCACGGACGGAAGAAAACATCGATGTAGTGAAACACTCAATTCGTGAAAATCCTACCCAGTCTACTCGTAAGCGTTCCAGTGCATTAAACTTAACCAGAACATCGTTACAGCGAATTTTAAAGAAAGATTTACATCTTCACCCGTACAAGATTCAGTTAGTACAGGAATTAAAAGATACTGACACTATCCACAGACTAAATTTCGCAAATGAAATGTTGAACCGCTTTACTTCGTTTAATAACGTGTTATTCTCTGATGAGGCTCACTTTCACATCAACGGCCATGTCAATAAGCAAAATTGTCGCTACTGGAGTTGCGAAAATCCAAATCGCAAACATCAAAAGCCCTTACATAGCCCTAAAGTGACAGTTTGGGCGGCTATGTCAGCGCATGGCATTATAGGCCCTTACTTTTTTGAGGACGGCAGAGGCCGCGCGCTTACTGTTACTTCACAACGGTATGTAGCTATGATCCAGGACTTTTTTACACCAGAGTTGCAGAATTTTCCAGGCTTCAATACGCGGACCTGGTTTCAACAAGATGGAGCAACTGCCCATACCTCTAACGTCGCTATGCCGGTCGTCCGTCAACTTTTCCATAATAAAGTGATCTCTCGAAGAGGAGATATTCCTTGGCCACCACGTAGTCCAGATCTGACCCCAATGGACTTTTTCTTATGGGGTTATCTTAAGGCTAAAGTGTACGAAACCAACCCGCGGACAATTGACGTCCTGAAAGAAAATATCCAAAGAGAAATGGCAAACATTACAGAGCTTACTTGCCACACAGTGATGGATAATTTTAAACGTCGCTTACAGGAGTGCCGCGATCGTAACGGATTACATTTAGATGATGTAATTTTCAAAAAATAATTCCCATTTTATAAGGATTATGACAAAATAAAAACCTTTTTCATAATGTCATTAGTTTTTTTTTAATTATTTTTTTACATTTCAAGGGACTTATGGGCCACCCTGTATAATGGAATGGGTTGTTTGTTGTTGTTGAATTAATGATTGATTTTGATATGTTAATTTTATAAAAAAAAAGAGTAAACGCATGAAATACATAGTATTTAATAGTATCTCATGTAACAATTTAAAAAAAGATTTATGTTTTGAGGAAACCTTAAATTACCGTCATCTATGACAGGGCACACCTGTTAATAATTTGATTTCTATGTATGGAGGGTAAAGATAGTTCTATGGTTCTTATTCGAATCGTATTGCACTCTTGTCAATTTTACAAAATAACAGATATTATTTATCTTTACAGCACAATTGTATATTACTTGAAAAACTTAAAGGCAAGATTCGGTAACTTAAATAGAACACATTACATAAAAATAAGTTGTATTAATAAATACCAAATTGAAAAACAAACTTTTCTAAAATGAGCGTACTGCACAGGTGGTTGAATTTCACTGACATTACGTGGAATGGTAGTACTCTAATAAAATAATACAGTTTTTTTTGCACTGTATGTGTGTTCCTTTTATGGTCAATTTTTTTAAATAAAACTAATAAGCAAATAAATAAATAAATATTGGTTCTATACTCTTCAGATCGGAACATAACTATTCAAGCACTGCTATTTGCTACAGAAATAGGTTAGAGGCTGGCACCTACGCAGACAGAGTCATACGTAGAATAGGGCTTCTATCACCTAGTAAAAGTTTACTTATATGAATCGCACATGTAAACACATCCAAACATGAAACAATTGAAGACTTGAGTGGATGAAGGTGATGTGTCGCATTTTTGGATTTTCGCTGTTTTATGCATAGATGAAGGTATTATGTCCATACCAACAATTTTAAACCTTAAAACAACCAATTTTGTAGTTATTTTAGAAGTTAACTACTTGATGAAGGTGTTATGTACACCATTTTCTTAAATCAATAATGGAAGTAGGTTGTATGGGCACATAACAATGTTATAGAAGCCAAAAAACTAAAAAGTTTACTTTTCTACAGTGGAAGAAAGAGCTGTGTGTGACATCGCACTCTACTTCAGTGAATGAAGGTGTTGTGTGCTGGACATATTCCCTTCATTCACAAAACGGCGTCACTATCCCATTTAGCTCATTCCCGCACTTTTGAAACTCTGCTACTTGTTGTTGTCAAAAATAAATTTAACTGTTAATAAATTGATATTGCTGACTCACAAAAACAACAGCCAGCCAAATCAAGAGTAAAACAATTAGTGGAAGCTGCACTTAACCAGAATTTGGTTGATACACCTGTGGAGAACATTGTTTACGAAAATTATAACCTAAACATGCATTTTTATTTTATTTTATAGGATAGGATGACAAACGAGCACACAGTCTAACTGATGGTATTTTTTTTATAGGATAGGGTGACAAACGAGCTCACAGTCCACCTGATGGTAAGTGGTTACTGTGACCCATAGACATCTACATCAATCCTCAATAAAGACTCAAGATGCAGATGCGTTGTCATCCGTGAGTAAGCCTCTTTAGAATCTTTTTTTAGAATGCCTCTTTGCCAGTAAAAAGGGTCTCCGGTTCTCTACACTCACCATACGAAACACAGCAGCGTTAAGCTGCTATTTTACGCTGGTTTTCTGTGAGAGCGTGGTCCTTCCCCGGTCGAGCCGACCCATTCGTGCTACAACTATACTGCAAATATAGCTGCAGCATGGCTCTACCACGTTTAAAATAATTCAAATTCACACAGGTAAGTGGTTGCTGTGACCCATAGACATCTACATCTATCCTCAATAAAGAATCATAATGCAGATGCGTTCTCACCTGTGAGGACTAAGATGGAATGCCTCTTCTCCAGTAAAAAGGGTCTCCGGTTCTCTACACTCAGCATACGAAACACAGCAGTTTTAAACTGCTATTTTACGCTGGTATTCTGTGAGAGCGTGGTCTTTCCCCGGTCGAGCCGACTCATTCGTGCTACAACTATACAATTAATATAGCTGCAGCATAGCTCTATCACGTATAATCACGTATGTCCGGAAAGGTAAGTCTTTTTTGCTTTATAATATATATAATATATATATATATACATATATATATATATATATATACACACATTATATATATATATATATATATATATATATATATATATATATATATATATATATATATATATATATATATATATATATATATATATATATATTCTTTATATATAACTAACTGTCCGCCGCGATTTTAATTGCGTTTACTCCGCGTCTTAAACACAACATAGTTATTGATATGACTGACCATTTCAGGAAAATAAACGATCTACAAGTGAATTTGAATTTGATTAATAAGAACAAAGATACAAATAACAAAAAAAAAATAAGTTTTAGGGATGGCGTGAAATGGATCAGAGTTGATGAATATGGCTCATATTTATACAAAGAGTCATACGACGAAATGACACTATTCAAGAAAGTTGTCATTTTAAAAAGAAAGGGGTGAAGTTAATCTAGATTTTGAGGTGTCACGTGTGGATGGGAAATATGGTACTGTGTCGGTTTAAAAAAAGCTAATATAAAGGAGCAATCAAAATTTGTTAAACCGGAATATCTTTATTATTATGAGTCGATTTTAAAGGAAAAATAATCGTTTTTCGTTTGTTTTTGAGTTTATTTTGCTAATTTCTCAAAGAACTTGTCTCTTTCAGACTCAATTTTGTCAATTTGTTTAAATTTTCTTTAGCGGAAGAAGGAGTTATATTCAGTTTTTTTTAAAAACAAAGTACTAAAAATACATTTTTTTTTAATTTCTTTCCTGTTATAAAAATACTGAACAGCTTACGCCGCTTGACACCATTTCTGCATACACTGAAAGCGTTTTGAAATTATCTTGAAATGTTTATGCGAAACTTTGAACGCAATTTTCTCGAAATAAGAATTTTAACGACATATCACCTTCATCCACTCATGTCTTCAATTAGTTGTAGGAAATACAGTACATGCTCTATGCGGGATTGGAATCTGCGCCCGCAGTACTGAGTCAGAACACCTGCAAAACTTCAAACAAAGGCCACACATGCGTTGTTACTGCCTAGAGCCAATAGTGAAATGCCTCGCAGCATGTAATAACCCTTAAATTCGGATCGGAGAATAATGGGTGCAGCAGTATATGTCAGCGAAAACGATACCCTAGCACTTGTTGTAATCTAATGTATCACTTACAGGCTTTTCTAAAACAAAAACAAAATTCATAGATAATTGCTGGTAGGTTTTCACGGCACGGTTTATTTTTGTTTATTTATTTATTTACACAATCATTACAGGGTGAGTACCCTAATTAGACAGTGTAGCGAACGATACAGTATGATATGCCATTTTACTGAGCTCACTCAGGTTCTTTGGACGATGTCATCCGAAGGGCTCTTGTCTCTATAAATGTTCCCTCGGTTTTAGAGCCTTGTAGAATATCTAGAGACGATGGCGGGAGACCCGACGGTATGACATTAGTCCCTTGGGAGAGAGGTAAAGCCCTAGAATGGGATGCTACTTGCGTAGAAACTTTGGCGATCTTTCATCTCAGGGGTACCTCGTTTAGAGCCGGGGCGGCATCAGAGGCAGCTGAACTAAGTGGCGCAGATATGAGTCTCTGATAGATGACTATCGATCCGTGGGGTCCACGTGCGGTGAAGTAGCACGACATAGAGCCATGCTGTAGCTATATTAGTAGTATAGTTGTAGCACGAATTGGTCGGCTCGACCGGGGAAGAACCACGCGTAGAATACCAGCGTAAAATAGCAGCTTAACACTGCTGTGTTTCGTATGGTGAGTGTAGAGAACCGGAGACCCTTTTTACTGGAAAAGAGGCATTTCATCTTAGTCCTCACGGGTGACAATGCATCTGCATTTTGATTCGCAAACGGGGATAGATGTAGATGTCTATGGGCCACAGCAACCACCTACCATCAGGTGGACTGTGTGCTCGTTTGTCACCCTATCCATATATAAAAAAAGTGATAAGAGGGCTGGTTCTTTTCTCGCTCAAAGGCTTAGTATAACCATTCAGCGGGGAAACGCAGCCAGCGCGTTCTTGGCACGATACCGCGGGTAGTAGGAATGTATGATAATTAAGTTACTAGTTTTATTTTTTTAAATTATAGTTTTTAATATTGTATATAATAAAATATTGTATAAAAAAGTTGAAATTAAAAATGGAAATTGTTATTAAATACAAGTAAAAGTAGCCGTTAAAGCAACAATGCATGCTAACCTTCTCTGTTCCTTATAATAGGTACATATTGCCTTCGAGAAGTGACGACGCCAGCATCATCTTTATTTCTCCGAATCACATAGCCTTAGCCTTAACAGCTTATCAATCAGCCTAATTACATGCGCAGGTGCCACTCAAATTGTTAGATATTCGCACCAGAGTATATAATCACTACGTTTAATCTGCACAACCAAATCAGTCGCTGTACAGACTTCGACGGCGACGTACGTGCACTGACAACCTTAGTATTATTCTATAAACGATGTCAACGTGATAAATTGATATCGTTCGCGATCATAGATTAAATTTATTTTAAATTGCCTAGTAGTGTTTGTGTTAGAAAAAAAAAACGGACTTCACTTGTTAAATAATTATTTTAAGGTGAGTGTCTTTTTTGTTACTTTAGTGTTTTTTAGCTAAAAAACTTAATGAATGAAAAATCTGTTAGAACAAAAATTCAAAGATAGTAACTTATATGAAGTATTTAGTTTTATAATATAACTATGATATTATTGTCTTAGTATTCCTGCCACATTTTCATGTTGCATCTGAATTTTCAAAAGGTCTAAAATAGCACGCACACTTCGTCGCTAACGCCGCAAAGGGGTGAACCTAAATTTTTCAAAAAATTACAGGAGAGCAAGAAAACATTTATTATTC